TTGAGCCACATCCCCAGCCCATTTTAACCATTTTTAAGTGTACTGTTCAGTGGTGTTAATTACGTTCATATTGTTGCACAACTATCACCACCGTCCATCTCCAGGATATTTTCATCATTCATACTGAAGCTGTGTACCCATTAAATAATAACACTCTCTTCCTTCCCCCAGTTCTTAGTAACCGGTACCCTCATTCTATCTATACAAATGGGGACTATTCCAGGTACTTCATTAAATGAAATCAGATGATGTTTGACTTTTTATGATTGGTTCATTTCACTTAGCATAGTGTCTTCATTTTGTTATAGCTTGTGCCAGAATTTCATTCTTTTGACTTTGGACTGGGTGCTAGGGTCAAATCCAGGGTCTTGTGTATACTAGGCAAGTGCTGTGCCCCTGAGCCACAGTTACCCCCTTAGCCCTGCATTCCCATTTGGTTTTGCTTTTTTTTGTTGTTTGTGGTACTGGGTATTGAATCCCAGAGTGCTCTACCACTCAACTACGTCTCCAGCCCTCTTGATTTTCATTTTGAGGAGTCTCGCTAAGTTGCTCAGACTAACCTTGAACTTCTGATCTTCTTTCCTCAGCCTCTTGAGTTTTGGGGATTATAGGTGTGCACCACCTTGCCCAGGTCCTGATTTCCTTTTAAGGCTTGAAAAATATTCCAACATATGTATTTACCACATTTCCCATACTTGTTCAGCCATCACCATTTGGATTTCTTTTCTACCTTTTGACTATTGTAAATAATGCTTCTTTGAACATGGATATGTCAGTTGAGTCTGTGCTTTCAGTGTTTTGGTTATAAATGTAGGAGTGATGTTGCTAGATATATAGGAATCAGAGGTTTTTAAAAGATGCTATAAGACATTAGTTTGTGTATTACACACATATATAATACACACACACACACACACACACACACACACACACACACACATATATACAGACATACGTGTGTGTGTGTGTGTGTGTGTGTGTGTGTGTTTTTCTCCCCATGCTGGGACTAGAACTTAAGGCCTTGTATATACTATGCAATCGCTTTCTACCTCCAATCTCAATTTTACATTTTCTATAGCAGCATGGTAAAATAATATGATCCCCAACTAATAAGCAAAAAAAAAAATTATGATTTTAGGTGTTTTAAGCTACCTGAAAGAAACATTCACGCATACTCCCAGTTATGACATGAGCCCCGCCATGCTCAGTGTGTTGGTCAAAATGATGCTTGCACAAGCCCAAGAAAGTGTGTTTGAGAAAATCAGCCTTCCTGGGATCCGGAACGAATTCTTCATGCTGGTTAAGGTGGCTCAGGAGGCTGCCAAGGTAAGGCTTCTCAGTTCCTGTGACTCTGGGGGGTGGGCAGAATCCATTGATGCAGGTGCACTGGAAGCGGCGGGGGTTCCCACGGCAGCAGCTTGCCCACCACCAGGGCAGCGTGCCTGTCCCAGCTGAGGCTGCTGCCTTGTGTTTTCTTGGCAAGTATCAGTGTTTCAGATATGGATCATTGATTCCATCTGCAGCTTGGCCTAAAAACCAGCATAATGACAGTTGCTGATCCCTCTGTTAATTCTGAGGCTGACAGCAGCAGGAGTTGCTTGGCACTGAGCCCAAATTATGGAGCAGCCTCTGGCAGAGGCTCCTGTATAGAAAAAAGGGATCTTTTTCCTGTACTTAGTTCATGAGGATCCTTGTGCTGGGCTCCCCTTTCCCAATATCCCTTCTGTTTCAGGTGGGAGATGTCTACCAGCAGCTGCATACAGCCATGAGCCAGGCACCAGTGAAAGAGAACATTCCCTACTCCTGGGCCAGCTTGGCCTGTGTGAAGGCCCACCACTACAGGGCCCTGGCCCACTACTTTGTCGCCACCCTCCTTATCGACCACCAGTGTAAGACTTGGAGGCTTCAGGGCTTGGGGCTTTGGTTGGAGGTTTGATCTTGCTGTCTCTGGGGGATTCTGAGCCGAGTACAGCTGCCTTCCTGTCTGGAGATGCTCACAGGCTGAAGGCAGAGGATGGGCAGTACATATTGATCTAGATACCTGTCACAGGCCAGGGCAGCATTAGGGGGTTACAGACTTCTGCTATAGAAGCAAAAGGAGTGGTTTAATTCTCTTTAGAATCAGGCAAATGATTTTTCACCTGGAATTTAGAATCTAAGGTGTGCCAACCACTCAGTTTTATTACTGAGTGTATATAACATTTTAAGGTAATATATATTTTTTTCTTTTTTTAAAATGATGCAGGGGATTGAACCTAGGGCCTTGTGCATGGCAAGAAAGTGCTCTATCACAGAGTTACACCCCTAGCCCTTCAGGGAGAGTTTTGATCGGATTAGTACTATTCAGGACAGCCCCCGGAATAATTAAATGGACAGCCTCTGGAGCCAGACTACTTGGGTTCATATCTCAGTTCTGACACTAGCTGTATGACCTTGGACGAGTTACTTAACTGCTCAGTGCCTCAGTTTTCTCATCTGTAAAATGGAGATACGAAGGGAAACTACCTTAAAAGGCCGCCGGGAAAAAAAATAAGTGCCTGTATTCAAAGATAAACCATGAAAGTGTGAGCTGCCATTTCTAGTACGTAGTCTATTAGGTGGGAGAAGTTAGGTAAACAGATGGAAATACAGTGCTCCAGCAGTGGCTGTCAGGATATGAATGAGGCAGCAGGTGGACTTACTGGTGCAGTCCTAGATGGCTCCTCAGAGTTAGTGATGTTTGTGGCTATTCCAGCTATACTTCGAGGGAAAGAGCAAGCAGTGCCTGAGCATAGAAGCCGAGGCTAAGAATGTGGAAGTGGTGTTGAGTGGCAGGTGAGGTTGGAGAGGGGTGTGGCCTCACCATAGGCATGGAAGCCACCAGAGGTGTTTAGGGTGGGCAGCAACAGGGGTGGGACTGTGCCAGGAGGTTCCAGGCAGCAGATGACTTGGAGGAGACAGTGAGGGCTCAGGGCCCATCATGAACTCCTGGAATATGGCTGGCACCAGGTGAGCAAAGGCCAAGGGGCTAGATTGCTTTGACTGTGTCTACAGGCAGAAAGGACACCCATAACCACTAATGCCTGGTAAAATGGGAGATGAAAGGATCCTGGGGATGTGGTTGAAAGGGAAAATCTCTACATGGGGTGTGGCCCCATCTTCAGAGGCAGATGGGGATTTAACCTGGAGCTTAAATTGCAGTGAAGCCGGGCGCAGATGAGGACCACCAGGAGAAGTGCCTGTCCCAGCTCTATAACCACATGCCAGAGGGCTTGACACCCTTGGCCACACTGAAAAATGATCATCAGCGCCAACAGCTGGGTGCGTACGGGCCCTGCTCCTAGAACTGTGTCCAGTTTGCTGATAAGCAGCCCTGCTCATGAACAACCCTAGAAGAATATCTAGGTGGGGGCTTGAAAGAGAAGGGTGTCCAGACTCACTGGAGCTACTCTGGATTCAGAAATTATGAGGTGCAACCCTCTAGTCTCAAAGGACTTTCAGAGCTGTGTTCTTATGCATTCCATGAGTGCCCGGGCTACCCCCCATGGAACCAGAGCTTTGACTGTCTCCCAACACCACTGTGGCCCATGACATGGCCCTTTGCCATCCTAAGGTTGAAGGACACATTGTCAATTTTTTTATGCTTCACCAAGGGCAAGTAAGACTGGTAATGGACTGACCTGGTTTTGTGTCTGTTTTGTGTCTCCATGTGAATATCTCTTTCCCTGATGTCCTTCAGCACCCAAACCTTCCGCCCACCCAAACACATGTAACTTCCCCTCTCTCAGTGATGTCAGCTCCAGCCCATTTGGTGCTTAGGCCAGAAATTTTGGATTTACTCTGCATTCCTGCCTTTCTTTGTCACCTTACATTTGAATAGCAAACATCATTAACTCTACCTAACATCCCAAATCTAATACTTTTTTTTTTTTTTTGGTGCAAGGGATTGAACTCAAGGGTGCTTAATCACTGAGCCACATCCCCACTCTTTTTATTTTTTAAGAGACAGGGTCTGGCTGAATTGATTAAGACCTCACTAAGTTGCTGAGGCTGGCTTTGAACTCGCGATCCTCCTGCCTCAGCTACTATAGTGAGTCACAGGGATTATAGTCATGCACCATCACATCCAGTCTAACTAGTTCTTATCCTCCCACCTTGGTCAAAGCCACATGCCGATAGTGCTTACCTCACAAACATTGGCTTGATTAAACTCCACCCGACTCTATGAGATAGGTCTGGTGGGCTTCCCACTTTACTACTGAGGAAACAGAGGCTCAGAATGGTCATACCGCTTACCTTGCTCATAGCTAGTCTCCTTGCTTCCCTCTGTTCACACGGAGGCTGGTTACTTCAGTCCTATGCCTACACCCTAATGGGTTCCCATCTTGCCCACAGTAGGAAGAGTAAGAGTCTTTATCCTGACTCATAAGGTCAGGCACGACCTGGCCCCTGCTCTTCTCTGATCTCATTCTCTGCCCTTCTCTCCTATTCCCCATTCCCTTCAGCTATATCCTCAATTCCTATTGTCCCCCCCAAACCTTTTTTTTTTGTGGGGGGAGGTGCTGGGGATCAAACCCAGGGCCTTGTGCATGCAAGGCAAGCACTCTACCAAATGAGCTATATCCCCAGCCCTCCTGTTGTCCTTGAAAGGTAAGTGAGCTCCTGCCCCAGAGTCTTTGCACCTACGGTTCCTTCTTTCAGGAATGCTTTTTATATCATTTCCTTCAGGGCCCTGCTCAGAAGTTACCTTATAAACAAAAATAATTTTAAAAACAAAACAAGTTTATCCAAAAAGCCTTCCTTGATCACCCATCATAGAATAGGTCCCATTCCCAATCTTCTAGCACGACTTGCCTACCTTGCTTCACTTTTCTTCATAACCTCATGACCACGGATCCACCACATGTATCTTTGTTCCTTAATTATCTGTCTTCAACTAATAGCATGTAACTTCATGAATACAAGGGGAAATTTTTGTTCTTTGCTTTATCTGTACACCTAGAATACCCAGTCAGTATTTGTCGAGTGAACCCTTAAAAGTGAGCATTTACACTTGTATCTCAGTGGAGGTGGGGCGCAGCTGTCAGCGAGATCCTTTAGAAAGGAGAATGTTTGCCTTTTGGGCTGATCCTTGGGTCCTTGGTATCTCTGTGATATATTCATATTGGTGGTGGCTTTCTGCCTACAGGAAAATGCCATCTGCGCAGAGCTATCACTCACCACAAGGAGTCTGTGAGGGAGGCCAGTCTGTGCAAGAAGCTCCGTGACATCCAGGTACTTCAGGAGGTGCTGTCTGCCGCACATCAGCGCTCTCGGCTCAAGTACAGTCAGTACCAAGAGGATGATGATCTTCTGAACTTGATCGATGCTCCTGATATTGTTTGTGAGTGTCTAGAACTAATGTGCCTTTTGTTGCCCGGAGGCCTGTGTCTGCTGTGTAGACTGTGCCCTGCATGGGAAACCAGGGTACCTGGCTAAATGCAGCTTGTATTTGCTCACCCTTCAGAGATTACACAAGCTCTCATTGTGTGGTGGGCCCTGGAGGGGCCACATTTCCAGCTGCCTTCTAGGAAACTGCATTTTACTCTCTTTTACTTCCAGCTCCCGAGTTTGAGAGCTAAATGCATCATAATTTCCTCTCCTGGGCTTCCTGATATCCCCTTTATTTTTCATCTTTTATCACCACCAGAATTTCTAAAAATCTCCCAGGTGTTGTGCACAGCGATGGCTTAGGAATACACACATAGCTGAACCAGACAAATGTTGCTGTCCTCTGGTCACTTCTGCCCAAGAGGGTGGGGAATGGGAGGGCCTCCCTCGAGTGATGGCTTTGCTGTGAGAAATGACTAGAGTCTTTCCAGGAATTAGAGGTGGGGGATGGTCGGTGGCCCATTTTGGGGAACCCCTTTGTCCATCCCCTCCTGAGTACAGAAAAAAAACTAACTCAAACTCAGTTTCTCCTACTATACGCTCACAGCACGGATTACTCCTGACACTAGATATGTGCAGGTTTGTCCACACTTCAAACCAATAATCAGTTCTGCAGCAGGTGCCGGCTGGTTGTCCTCTGATCCAGTTCAGTACTGATACTGTCTACCCAGAGATAGCATCAGGTCTCTCAGGTTCAGAACTTGGACGCCAGGATTATCCCCGTCCCACCTCAGATGCCAATTATAAACATCACATTGTTTTACCTGTATTTCCCACAGCTCTTTTTCAATTAATTTAACTACAGCCAGGAACAGTAGCACGTGCTATTCAGTTATTCAGGCAGTCTGAGGCCGGAAGATCACAATTTTGAGGACAGCCTCAGCAACATAGAAAGAGCCTATCTCAAAAAATAATAATAATAATTTGTTAGAACAGCTCACAGAACAGAACTCAAGGAAACCCTTAATTATACTGTTTAGTTTGAAGGATATTATAAAGGATTCAGATGAAGAGATGCGTAGGCTGAGGTCTGGGGGAAGGGACGCAGAGCCTCTGTGCCCTCTCCAAGTGTGCCACCCCCCAGGAACGTCCATGGGTTCTCCTACCCAGGAACTCCCTTATTCCTGTCCTTTGGGGGTTTTATGGAGAATTTCTTTGCAGAGGCATGATTGAAACATGGACAGCCTTATGAAAATGGGACTGGACACAAAAGGTGTGATCTAATGCTCATAGGCTGGGTGGGGAGACCCAGCAAGGCCTGTGTGCTCAGCAGTCTGCTTGGCCTCTTTACGCCACATGCCTCTCTCAGGGGCAGGAGCCGGACTCCTAGGATGAAACAGGTCTTGTGACCTACTATCAGAGGTCAGAGAATTTCTTTATGGCAGCTTGTAGACAGCTTTCTTAGGAGAAGATAAAGAGTTTTTATGATTTGCCTTGGGGAAGAGATATTTTAGTTTCTGTGGCCTGCCTTGGGAAGGGAGTTGTGAGCCAAGGACCATGGTCAAAGCCAAAAAATGTTTATTGTTATATCACCCCCTCTTTCCCACACTGTTCTCAGTCTCTGGGGATCCCTCCTGATATTCAGGGACCAGCTATTAGAGACAGGGTCCTGCTCAAGCCAGAATCCTCGGCTCCTCTGTAATAATGTTAGTTGTTGTCTGTTGAATGTTTGAGGTCTACCAGGCATGACAGTTGGCCCCGTTTGTATACTATTTCATCCCTCTTCCACTGCTGTGAGGGAGGTACTAATTACTGCGTTGTATTAAAGATGAGGAAGTAAAGGCCTAGGGAGATCCAAATTCTTGCCCAGGTCACCCACCTGATGTGTAGAAGCAGGAATAGCACTCAGGGATTCTCCTAGGAGGTAGAGACTTAAATTCCACAGAGGGAGGGAGGTAGGCAGCTCTATCGATGGCAATGCTGCTCGCCCTCCCTCCACTTTTTTTTTTTTTTCCTACTTCCTGTTGCGAATAGAACTCAGGGCCTCGGGCATGGTAGGCAAGTGCTTTGCCACTGAGCTAAACCACCAACCCAAGCACAACCCTTGTAGCAGATGAGCAGCCTGCCTGAGCCCAGTACTGTGTTAAGGATTTGCAAGAAGAAGCCCCAGGGTCATCCTGTGGATAGCAGGGTCTGATACACGCTGGTGGGACCTAGATTTTCTTTTCAGACTGTTGTTCACGTGTATTTAGCCTTCTCTGGGGTCCTTTGTTAGAAACCAACTAGCTTTCCAGTAAGGGTGGGCCTGAGCCTGCCATAAGGTCACTGTTGAAGATCTGTAGATAATGATGGATGTGACTGGGGCAAGGTCACTGCCCACTGCAGAATCCTCACATCACATGATTAATGATGAAATCAGGAAGCACACTGTGCCCAGGACTGTGTTCTGAGACACACAGATCTTCTGTTAGAGCCACACCTGAAACAGTTTGCTTCTCGGCAGGGTTTATGAATGCTGAAGGAATTGCACCAGAATTGCATCAATAAGCTCCTGGGGGAGGAGGGATGTGTCTGGTCATCATTCCTCTGTCCCAGCCCTGAATGGGTTATAGCTCCAATCAGGTACCCCGGTGGGAGGCACAGTCACCTGGGGCCACGGGTTGAGACA